GCTAGTAGTTTTTATTTCATCGAGTTATGAAAATGGCCTTCGTATAAAAATTGCCTTGTTTTCAGAAGCAAATTTTAATAGTTCTAGTTCTACCGAATCGATTTTCACGCGAATTCAACCATTTTGATGATCTTTCTTTTCCTTTTGAAAAGATGTAGATCTAGGCCTGTCGGATGTGGCAGTGAGAATAACACTGAGTTGTTTAGATCTAGATCTAGACCCATCAAAATACGAGGCTTCGTGGCCGATCACAAAAGTCTACGGGGCTTATCGAGGCCGATTCGCCCTGCTGCGAGCACGTTCACTAAACTGCCTACTAGATAGAATCTACTACCAAATATTCTCTACACGATCTTTGCTACTACTACTACTAGGCCTACTAGCCTACATGTACTACTACGAGACAGTACGAGAGAGTGTCACTCAGGCAAAGATAGTGTAACTTTAACTCAGCCACGTAGTGTACACACTTTTTATACCCCAAATTTAACCCGGAAGTCCATTCGGAGGATTTGACCTTTTCACTTGACCAAAGTGTGCCAAAATGGTAGCCTAGCTTTTGCCCCTCCATGAAGGAAAAATCTGGCCCTCATTCAAACCATTGGGATTGAGCAAAATTTTGCGTATTGTGCTTTGTTCTTTACAATATATTCATTATGGTTATGATTTATAAGTTGTACACTGAGACAAAACCGTACTAAATGAGAAAGGTGCACCATTATAAAAGTGGAACAAACTCAATTGCCTGAAAAGGGTAGTTTGAGCATGTGTGGCCCAAATAAGCTAAACCCCCCTCCCTTACCTTATTTAGGCCACAGTCCACTGTGGCCTAAATAAGCTAAACCCCCCTCCCTTACCTTATTTAGGCCATATGTGGCCTAAATAAGCACTCCCATTTCAAAATTCATATTTTTGTCACACTTTCTGGACCAACTTTTGAGACTTGCTCATCTAGATCTAGAGTTAATCCTATATATAGAGAGAGATCTAGATCTATATACAGTAGGCGATCTTTTGTGGATATCTATGGAAGTTACAGGTCGATCTTCATGATTTTTTCCACCAGAAGTTAGAAAAACTTCCTCTCTATACGGTGTAGCGCATTGCTGTAACAGCAGTTAAAAATTTCTATATGTTGTGGTGGTGTTTGTTTGTAACGTATGTCTGTTTTTTGTTGTTGCTCTAGGTGTCTGTTTGGTGCAACATACATATCGTCTGGTTGGGTGGTTGGCAGTAGTACCATGTTTACAGCTCTAGATCTAGATCTAGCTCTTTTCTGACACTTTTCATCTTTCTCTATCCTGGCCTTGTCTTCTTTTCCTTGCAAGAAGTTCCTGTACTGACCATAACGGAAGGCCAAGGTCAATGAGGCGTGTTCTTTTTGGGAGCTGTGCGCCCCCTAACAGGAGATTTCCTTACACCGTGTGTATGTGTTTTGATAATGGATAAAAAGAAAGGTGCTGTGGACACAAGAAGGGGAAAGAAGAAAACAAGAATAAGACTATACCTAGACTACTAGTATTTTTTTAAGGAAAAAGGACAAAAAAGAAGAAGAAAAAGACGTGAAAAGAAGAAATTGAAAAAGAAAGGTGCTGTGGACACAAGGAGGTGAAAGAAGAAAACAAGAATTAGACTATATCTAGACTAGTATTCTTAAAGGAAAAGGACAAAAAAGAAGAAGAAAAAGACATGAAAAGAAGAAATTGAACTTTTTGGAGATTAAATTTCCATTTAAATTAATTTTGACATGAATATATTAACTGATCATCTTCCAATGGCAATGTAATGCATCCAAATGGAAGGAAAAGAGTGTTTCAGTGCACAATGCAGGTCATAGAGAAATAACTTAATAAGTAAAACAACCAAAGGGCCTAGAAGCCACACTATCAATGCCAAATAGCAAAAAAGCCGATATTGCGCACTGAAACGGACTGCACAAATTTGGTCTGATTCAGTGCGCAACCCTATCTGGCATGTTCCTGGGCATTAAGAAGCAGCCTGCGATAGTATTTATCGATTCTAGTATACATTCTACGATACATTAGAGCTAGATTAACTAGATGTGCTAAATAATCGATTACTCAAGCGCTTAGTAAATTCACCGATACCGGTTACGAAAACCATTAAAACTTTCCGACACTGTAGAATCACGTGTGTTGACAGGAACCTCCAAAACGAAAGTGAAATAAGCTGCATTCTGCGCATGCTCACAGAAAGTGACCTCGTTTTCGCTGTTCTTATCCAAAACAAAGCAGGAGACCGGGAATTGCGCACCCAAACAGATGCGCAGTGACGTGGTTAGACTCTAGATCTAGAATCCAGAATTATCTAAAAAGTCTAGATCTAGATCTAGATATCTAGGTTGTATCAACATGATAGAGCACTCCTGGGCTGCGTGATCCTATACTTTAGCACGTTAAATTCTTCAATTGATTTTATTCCCTTTTCCGTAACGAGCGACCACTTTAAAACAAGATCTAGATCTATCTAATCTAGTTTTTATACTCAATGGCTTCCAAAATCATGATGGAAGACCGAATACCACTGACTTATACCATCTGTTCATGACAAAATTACGGTAGTTTGCTCATTTTTAGGCCCAGTTCAAAGTTTTGAAGGTCTGAGTCGGGGATTAGTTGACTTTGGGAATTTAACGTGCTAAAGTAAAAGATCACCCACTCCTGTCCAATAATTTAGCAATGCCCACCGAGCGCGTTTTGTTCTGCTGATTTTTGGCCCCGCAGCGAGGGTGTTTCGTGGGACGCACAAACGCAAAGGTTGTTGTCTTCAACTCGCTCTCACGCCGCTTCTCGTGAATGGATATGAATGAAACTTGGCAGCCAATCAGTAAAGAGGTCAATCTCGTAGTATGCAGTTTGACAACTTTGTCCATCGAAGAAGTAGTCGAAAACGTTTGCAAAAGTGGTTGATGTGGTGTGCTTTGAAGATTTTTCGGAGCTGTGATTTGTCAAACTGACAGATACGTTGTACACCATTTTTCTTTATTCCCTTAAAATTTCATGCTTTTGTGTTTAGCGGTTTTCGCGTAATCTTTAAAAATGGAGTAACAAAGGGAAAAAGCGGCATTGCCATTTGCGCGTGCTGGGTGAACGACCGGCGGATGGGAAATTTCCACTGAGTGACGTCATCAGCCATCGGTCGCCTCGGGCGCTACAAACGAGGCCCCGCTTATGTGAACCGGAAAGGGGGGGGGGGATACTTGAAAACTTAACAGGGGCCTTGATAACTTGCGTTTTTGTTGCATTTTAGTCACAATACAATAGAGATGTAGTCATTTTTATTTGCTTGATTGCATGACAGAAGAATAGAAACAGAAAAGCAAACATCTCGAGAAGTGGTATGGCATTGTGTTTGCGTTATGATAGCGTATTCACCCCTCTTGGGAAAACACACACTTGGACTCGTCCTGTGTGCTCTGTTTGGAAAAGTGAGGCATTAAGATTGTTATTAAAGAGTATGGTACTTATTTAGTCCAGTCTGGGAAGATAGTCCCATACATTGTTATCGTTCACGCGTGAGTGCGCGCGCGTGCATGTGTGTGTGTGCGTGAGAGAGAGAGAGAGAGAGGGGGGGAGTGTATATATATATATATGTTACATTTATTGTATGATGAGTTGTAGCCTACACATGCAAAATATTCCCATGACTTGTAAACTATATTATCTGAACGCATCTTAATCTACCACACAATAGGACACTGTCCAACAATGGATATACACTGAGACGATCTTATTTTCTATAACAAAGTACGCATGCTTTTACTAGTAGAGAACTGGATTTATTAGACTAATAAATCCAGCTCTCTACTTACATTTTTGTGACAAATTGATCCAGAGCATTGCTTGGCAAGGAGGAACCTTTTATATTTCCAAGTTTCATTCAAATACCATGACTTTGGGAGAACATATGACTGATAATTTTTGTAAATCTGTAAAGAACGCCACTTTTTTACCCGTTAATGTCTTTACAACTCAAAAAGTATGACAGATATTAAAAATCTGACAGCATGACTAGATTCTGCATTAAAAAATGTACTAGACTGCCAAGTTTCATTTCCATATTCCAAGAAATAGGCGAGCTCTGACAAATATTGTCTCAAAACGCACTGAAAACCGCCACATTTCTACCTATAAACATCTTCATAACTCAAAAAATGGGATAGCTATGAAAAACCTGAAAGCAGGACTAGATTCTGCACTAGAAAATGTACTGGGTTGCCAAGTTTCTTTTAATAACTCCGAGAAATGAGCGAGTTATGACGAATATTGTCTCAAAACTCACCAAAGAACGTCCCATATTTTGGGTTTTTTTCATTAAATATAAAAAGTGTACCAAAAATTAATTGATTAAAAAAATTCGTAACTTTTTTGTTTATTGATGGATTTCAAAAATTCAAAAAGTTTAATTCTCTGTGAAGATACAGCTATAAAATGCACTTATTTGCAAACACTTTCTGGCAAAAAAAGTTTTTTCGTGGTCATTGCTTCAGAGTAGAGTAAGTCTGATTCCCTGTAAAGACTGCTCTGTTGACACCCACCCGTTGGCACTCATATGACCTTATGCAGTTGCGAGCGCCGTAAAACCCTGTACTATAATAATAATAAACACTTAGTTGCTGTTCTAGATCTAGTTTTCCATTTTTTGTACTATAGGCACTTCAGTGAAATTTTCAAACTTTTCCAAGGGCATTTAAGTTAGGGGTATAGGAAAGAACTTGGCTTTCTGTTTTCTGAGCATGTGAATCAATTTTTGCCAAATCTCCAATTTTACACACACCTATTTTTTGTCTTTTATTTTTGGAAATAGTCTACAAAAATATTACCTATCTTAGTGCTGATGTCATAAAACTAAATGATACCAAACACATGTAGTGGTAGTGAATTACAAACTTTATAAAAAACATTGAAACATCATCTGTACAAAATTTTGGGGAAAATGATTTGGCAGCAGAGTGTTAATGTGGTTATTTAATTTTTCAGGAATCTGAAGGTGAGAGCCATGATGTTATCGGTAAGTAGCTCATTGTCTTATATAAATGACCCTTTTTTGTAACATCTTTAGGTTAAGGGGTTTTTAAAGTTCAAGATCCAGTTCTTGTTTTGATTTGATATGAAGTGGTTTATATTATAAGAATATGTTTTTGCTCTGGAACATTAATTAACTTATTTAGTACCAAGAGTTCTCCCGTTTCAGAAATTATTTCTGTCTTTGAAGGCCAATTTCAGATATTTTTAGTGTCTGAAGGGTCTAAGCCCTTGTCATACAGAATGGCTCCTTATTTTGTCCATATAAGTTTCAGTTGACATGGAGAGTAATCTCAGTCTGGTAAAGGTTTGTGATAGTTGGAGCTGGTTTTGGTCCCCCTCTTCTGACCTTTTGGGCGGCAGAATTATTGTTATTTACCCAAATTCTCCAAAGTGAATAAGACACTAGAAAAATCTGATTGAACCTTTGCCAAAAGTGAGGGCGTTTGTATGAGAACTACTCATGAAAAAACATGTTACAGTCAAATACAGTCAAACTTAGATATATAAGTAATATAACAGGACAGACGGGACCACCAGTTTTCCTCTGTTTCTGTTATTAGGCGAGTCCTATTATAACCGTTATCGAGGGAAACTGCCAGTACCGTGCCCATTGCACCTTCAGCTTATTATATATTCGATTACTGGGGTGCTGCAGATCCTTTTCCAGTTGGCTGTTTAGCTGACACTGATACGGAATCGATCAGTGACCCCAACTCTA